AATACTATTGTAGCTTGAATGACATTGATGCAAGAAAGAGGAGCAAATTAACGATCAAATGACAATGATAATAATGATTGCATCAGTAACGAAAATTATTGCAGTAAAGGAAACAAAAAGATAATGGTATTAAGGATACTAATAATGTTCATAAAACAATAATGATAAAGATTAATGTGATAGTGATGACACAGATATGAAAATGAATGCAATGAGGGAAGAACATAGTGATAATCATATCTAGCAGAGAGATTATAATGATATTAAATATATTTATAAAACAATGTTAACGATATCATTGATATGGTAATAATGATGTATTTCAGTGATAACGATGATAACAGTTATATCAATTTTAATGATAAGAATGACAATAATAGAAGAGATAATAATGATAATAATAGAGAATAATCTCAATAAGAATAATGCAAGGGATGATAACGATAATTATAGACAATATCATTATGATAACAATAACTATTAAACCGAGGGTAGTTTTAACAATAGTTACTGTCATTTAAGTTTAAAAAAAAAAAAAAAAATTGACCGTAAGAATTATAATATAAGATCTTTTTTTTTATTGCAATAATGATATATTTATAATGGTGGTAACATGATAAGATTAGTGATAACAAGTCATAATAAAGTTGTTAATAATAACAAACGTGATGTAATAATATAGTGATAGAAAATGACAATTATAGTGATAATAATTCGATAACAGCAACAATAACGACAATAATGGCGTTCAAAACAATCAACGACAACGATGTAAAATGGAAAAGGCAATAATTCGATAACAACAACAATAAAGACGATAATGACGCTCAAAACAAACAACGATAACGAGTGAAATGGAAGAAGAAGACAACAATTCGATAAAAGCAACAATAGTGATGGTAACGACGTTCAAAGCAAGAACAATAACGAGTGAAATGGAAAAGACAATAATTCGGTAACAACAACAATAAAGACGATAATGGCGTTCAAAACAAACAACGATAACGAGCGAAATTTAAAAAAAGACAATAATTCAATAACAACAACAATAAACACGATAATGGCGTTCAAAACAAACAACGATAACTAGTGAAATGGAAAAAGAAGACAACAATTCGATAAAAAGCAACAATAGCGATGGTAACGACGTTCAAAGCAAGAACAATAACGAGTGAAATGGAAAAGACAATAATTCGGTAACAACAATAAAGACGATAATGGCATTCAAAACAAACAACGATAACGAGTGAAATGGAAAAAGAAGACAACAATTCGATAAAAAGCAACAATAGCGATGGTAATGACGTTCAAAACAAGAACAGTAACGAGCGAAATGGAAAAAGAAGACAACAATTCGATAAAAAGCAACAATAACGATGGCAATGACGTTCAAAACAAACAATGATAACGAGCGAAATGGAAAAAGAAGACAATAATTCGATAAAAGCAACAATAAAGACGATAATGACGCTCAAAATAAGAACAATAACGAGTGAAATGGAAAAGACAATAATTCGGTAACAACAACAATAAAGACGATAATGGCATTCAAAACAAACAACGATAACGAGTGAAATGGAAAAAGAAGACAATATTTCGACAACAACAACAATAAAGACAATAATGACGTTCAAAACAAACAACGATAACGAGCGAAATGGAAAAAGAAGACAACAATTCTATAAAAAAAAAAGCAACATTAGCGAGGTGCAAAAACGAAGTGACTTCCTCGTGCCAATGAGTTGTGAGTTTCCGGAAGTAGCTTTGTCATCCTTATTCTCTCTTCCTCTTCTTTATCCTCTCTCTTTTTTTCTTTTTTCTTTTGTATTATCTTTGTTCGTTTTGTTTCCTGGATTTTCGCTTTTTCTTTTTCTTTTCTCTCTTTTTTTTCTTTTTGGTGTTGCGGTTTTGTTTTCGTTTTTTTTTTAATTGTAGTATTTATCTTTTCCTTTTTTTTCTCTTCTCTTTCTTTGTATTATTCTTTTATGGTTATGATGGTGATGATGAAGATGATGATAACGATAATTATCATCATCATCGTCATTATTATCACAATTAGCAACACTATTATCCTTATCATTATCATTATCATTATCACTTTATTCATATTTCCTATAATCATCATCATTATCACCTTCCCCATTATCATTATCTTCATTATTCTTCAAAGATTATCATCTTCGTTAGCACAGTCTATTTTCCTCTTTATATTCATCTTCCCAAAATTTATCAAAATATCTCTATTTTCCTCTTTATATTCATTTATTCCCTTGTTTCATTATCTTATTCTTATTCTTCTATTGTCATTTTCCATCTCCAAATCATCACCTTTATTTTAATTCTGGTTTTATCCTCTATTTTTTTTTATTCTTCCCTTTCTGTTAAAGCATTTCCTGTTTATTTTCTCTTTCGTTCACCATCTTTATCTTATGATCGTGTTTAATCTTCTTCTTCCTATCTCCTTGGTCCCATTTTCTTTAATTTCCTCTTCCTCGACCTGTTTTTTTATCTCTCTCTCTTCCTTATATTTATTTTCCCTCCTTTTCTCCTCCTTTTCTTGCTCTTCCTCTTTCTTCTTCAGATTTCTCTTCTTCCACGTCCTCTTATCCTTCTATTCCATTCACTTCTCTCTTCTTCGATTTTCTTTTTTATAATTCTTTTCTTTCTCCTTTCCCCTCTTTCCTTTTCCTTCACATTCCTCTTCCTTATTCTTCTTCTTTTCCTCCTCCTCCTGTTTTTTTTTCTTTTATCTTTCCTTCTTCCCCTTCTACCTATTCTTCTCCTTTCCTTCTCCCCTTTCCCCTCTTTCTCTACTCTTCCTTCTTCTTCTTCTCTTCCTCCTCCTCCTCTTCCTCTTCCTTCTCTTTATTTATCTCCCCTTCCCCTTTACCCTCTTCCTCTTCCCTATCCTTTTTCTCTTCCTCGTCCTCCTCCTCCTTTTTCCTTCCCCCTTTCCTCTCCTCTCTTCCCTTCTTCCTCTTCCCAATCCTTCTCTTCCTTCTCATTGTTTTCCTTTCCAATTTCCCCTCTTCCTCTTTCTTCCTTTCTTACTCCTCCTCCTCCTCCTATTTTTTTCTCCCTCCCTTTCCCCTCTTCCTCTTCCATATCCTTCCTTTCCTACTCCTCCTCCTCCTCTTCCTTCTTTTCCCCTCTTCCTCTATTCGTATCTTTCCTTTCTTCCTC